GTACCAGGAGCAGCTGCAACAGCAACACCAGCACAAGCAGCAGGGGTTGCGGCTGGGGGCAGCCGGGGGGGCCACATGACTGGACATGGAGGGAGGCTGGTCTGCCTCCTCTGGCCCTGTGTGCTGGGGGAAGATGGTCCGTCTCAGTCACCGGGCAAACTGCAGGCCCACCCACCTCTCCTCACAGTTGCCTGCTGGTGGCCATGCTCCCAAGGGCAGAACCCTTCCAGCCTCCCAGGTGCTGGTGGGTCCCTCAACTCCTTGTTGCCCTCCCAGTTTCCCAGGGGGCAGAAGCAGGGGTGGAGGTGGTGCACCTGCTTCTCAGCCTCATGCGCGGTGGGCATGGGTGGGTAGAGGTGGTCGCCTGGGCTCCGTGGTGCTGGCTCAGGACCCTCACCACAACCTGGGGGTCTGAGAAGAGAGGCCACGGTTCTCAGAGAACCTGAGACCCCAGCCCCTGCATGCCCCCCGGGGGGGGGTCTTGAGAGTTGCCTTCCTCCTTCCTGCAGCCCCAGTGGGGCCGGCTCCCCTGCCTGCACCCCCACCCCAGCCTACACCAGGGCTGCCAAGGGTGCACGGTTGTGAGGAGGGGACCCGACGAGAACTCCACAGAGGTTCTGGGACACCACCATCTGCTAGGTCCCTGGGAAGCCGGAAGCCTGGGTTCCTCTTTCTTGGTTTCCGGCTCCTGGCCCCTCCCAAAGAGGCTGGGGGCCCCAAGAGTCTGGGGCTATCAGGTGGGTGCATAGGGGTGGTGATCAGACATTCAGAACCCCCATCCCAGCTCCCTCCATCCTGGGTTTTCTGTGCGTGGGTGGGGTGGGGTGGTGGGCAGGGTTGCTTCCTACCAGGAATCCGGATCTGCCTGTGGGCCCCAGAGCAACAGGTCTGTTCACTGGGACTCAGCAAGGGGCAGCCGACTATGCCTGAAGCATGAAGGGTCTGAGTGGGGAAAGGAGCAGGACTTCCTGAGGGTGTGGGAAGCGGGGCTCCCGCGGACCCACCTTTCCTCCATCCTAGATGCGGTCTCTGGTGGCTCCTACCCCCAGCTGACCACCTACCGCCAGGTCCCTGGCCTCCCTCTCCCCTTCCCCCACCAGGCTGCGGAAACCGCCGCCTAGAGACAGGGCGGCGGGCGGGCGACGCCGAGGGGGGCGGAGGTGGGTGGAGGTCGGGGCAGGACGACGCAGTGGGCGGCAGGGGGGTGTCCTGCTCCCGGGTTGGACTGCGGGGTACCCTGGGGAGGCAAAGGGTGTGTCCTCAGCGTCTGCGCAGCACTGGAGGCGCAGGGAGGGTGGGCGCTGAAGGCACCAGCCTGGCAGCCGCGTGTGTCCTCCGCGCGGCCGGCCGTGGATTCCAGTGCGCGCAGCGACAGCACAGGGCAGCCAATCAGCGCCCTGGAGGCAGTTTTGAACACCCCCACGACCGCCCCTGCCTGTGCCCACCTCAGCCCCGGCGAGGGCCCGCAGGGCGGGGGAGCCCCCCGCACCCCGTGAGAGCGGTGCTCAGGGAACAGCACGTGAGTTACGCGCACTCAGGGCAGCCCTGCCTCCAGGGCCTGGGCACACAGAGGCCCCTGCCTGGACCCGCATCTGCCCCGTACCACTTTGGGATCATGGCAAGGGGCGGCACGCTCAACCTTGGTCCCAGGGGCTCCCAGCAAGCAGACGGGGAAGCAGCAGCCCCACAGCCTTTCCCTCAGGGGTCAAGTTTCTAGGGAAAGGAAGGGGTGTGGCAACCGCTGAGGTCTAGTAGCTGTACCCCAGACTGCTGTGACTTCCCCAGGCAGAGCCTCTCTTCCTCCTCTGCACCCCCACCCACTGTGAGTGGGGGCAGGGACTCAGTCCTATCCCCTACCCCCTAGCATCTGAAGAATATACCTGCATTGGCTGTCATTTCCAACTCAGCTCTGAATTAGAGGGAACCTGTCTGAGGGTGCAGGGCCCAGGTGCTGGGGTTCAAGTTTGGGGCAGGGGGAGGTCAAGTTCCTGCTGTCCAGGTTGCAGGTCCTTGAGCTGACGCCCTGCACCCTTTTAAGGCTGGTTGGGTCATCTGTGCCCCCAGGGCACCCACTCTCTCTCCTGGGCAAGTACAGGTCTGAACGGAGGTTCCCACTCCTCACCCTGGCATTTGGAGAGGGGGCTCCTGCCCCAGCCCCAGCCCCTCCAAGCTTGGTCGTCTCCCCTGCCCCCCAGTCTGGAATGAAAGAGGCTGGACAGGCAGCAAGTCTACCCTCTGGGGACAGAGGCTCCCTTGGGAGCAGCTGCTGCTCTGCCCCACAGAAGGAAAGGACTCCCCAGTCCAAAACAAGATTGAAATGTCTGAAGACCCAGGAAAATGCCATAACCTTTGGGGGTGTTTGTGTGTGTGCGACAGAGGGGCTCCATTCCCTCCTGACCCTCCCCAGTACCTTTCTCATCTGCTACCCCC